TTTCTTCTATTATCCTACTGTATTGTATTGTATTGTATTGAATTTTTATGATTGGAAATGAAATCAGGTAACCCTAATTAGTAATTTCCTTATATCTTCTCTGTCACAGGAAGAATTCATGGCAGAGGTTGGAAAGGAGAAAAGGACTGGAGCCCATGAAGCAGCAGGAAACAGGCAACGTCTGCCGGGACCGCCACTGTCTGAGGAAGAAGAGAAGATAAAGATGGAGGAGCAAAATAGAAAGGATAGAAAGTATCGGGCCAAAATGACGGTAAAACTAAATTAATGTCCTGTTGTTCTTATTACGGTTAGCATCAGCATAGATGATTAAATATGCAACATCGTAACACTTTCCTACATATATATACAAGATTAGCATAAGAAAATCTGTTTATAACATGAATCATCATTAGAAGCATATAAATATACATGCATGTCATTCAACTTACATTCAATCTTTGAAAACATAAGTTAAGAAACCAAATAGTAGCTTAGCCTGCACTAGATTACTCATCTTTGGAATTGAAAGGCTCAAGAGATTAACAAAAGCAGGTGAAATATATAAAAGTAAACTAAGAACTAATTAATAAACATATAAAATAAAGTTTAAATTGTTATAAATTGTTTTAAGGTTCTGGTATTAGTACTAATCTTATCTGATACCCCATGTTAAAATAAAACTGCATAATGAAGTAGGTCAGTAATGAAATTAACTTGTTCTATTTCAAGTTTGAAATGATAACTACTATTTATTCCTAACCTATATAATTCTGAAGACTAAAAACAGAGTTTCACTGAAGAAAAAGTAACAAAAATGAGTTTTCAGGGCAACAACAATAGTAAGAATCAATTATCAGAAAATTCTACTGCTGTTGACTACAAAAGGAAAAGCTCTGTTTCACCAACTGGAAGAGCTGAAGACATATTACCAATACTGAAGAAGTTGGAGTCACGAGAGTTTGATTATCTCCCTACAAACGAAGAAGTCATATTAACGTAATGATTTTTTTTTTGTTTGAACTATTTGACCCTATTATCTTATATTTTAGCTTAATATTTTACTTTTTTTTCCCCTTTTTAGGGATTTAATAGACTTTTTGATCGTCACAACCGAACCACCAGTGAAAATGGTTAAGAAAAATATGAGCACTCCTGTGAAGGATGAGTGGGAATGGGAAGATATTATTGCAGAGGAGTACAACGTGGATGTGATGTTAGCTTCATTTTGAAACAAGATGAGGATAAGAACATTGATATTGATTATTGAATCCACAAGAAAACATATTGAAGAACTATCTATTGAACTAGAAAATCAATATGAGAGTCCAATTATGGAAGTGGATGAAATTTAGGATGACTATTGATCTGCTAAGATTATCATGTGTATTTATTGGACTTTCAAATGTTAAATAATTAGTATATATTGTTTATTTAATTAGATAATTAGCATATGTTATTTATTTAATTAAATACTTGTTATTTGTTGTTATTTAATTAAGCCTTAGTAGATTAAAAACTATTACAATGTATTTTTACTTTTTAAGACTATTTATGAATATTTAGTTTTTTGAAAATTTAAACTAGTTATTTTTATCATTTAATAACTAAAATTTAATTATTAAATGAAAATTTTCAATATTGCCTTGCTAATACTTTTACAGATAAATATATGGCCTCTACCCAATGCTGAAACTAAATCAATTCTAAGGCTTATTTTATATTTTCATGCTTGATTTTCTAATAGACATGGATTTGTTTTCGAATATGTTTTTGAAATAATTATATGGGCACAGTGATGAAACACAGTACAATTCCAAAACTGGTCAGTTTGGAATTGTCTGAAATCTCATATATATCTTACAACTTACGCACACAGAATCGATGTGGGGCAACTGCCCCACAATCGGGATGGCCACCACTTGTTTTCACATATGTTGTATTTTTTCTTTTTTTTTTTAGTAAAATAAAATAAAGTATTTTTTAACCAATGCCTTCAAAAGATATCTTTTTGTCATAAATAGACGTGAAAAATAAAAATTTACTAAAAATCCACAAAAAAAAAAACTTGATTCAGTGAAGAAGAATTTTACACAAACTAAAAAAAAGGTTAAAACCCCTTTTTGGTCCCTCAATTATTGTACGAACCCTCAATTTGGTCCCTGAACTCAAAAAATCCCTGATTTGGTCCTTACTGTTTACCATTTTTACCCTGATTTGGTCCTTCCGTTAAAAATTCAATGATGTGTCCAGTTAACTAACGGAAAATGATGACATGTCCA